GGTACTTCGATTACCACGACACACAGGGACCTGATCGTGTCCCATTAGCTTCTGCACACTTGGAAGGAGAGGTGATCGTCTAGTACCAGTGGTACTGGCGACGACACCCAAGAGCCACATGGGCAGACTTCACCGACGCCTTAACCATGCGATTTGGAGTTTCGGCTTTTGAGAACTATGATGAAAGCCTCGCTAAGCTACGATAGACTGGCTCCGTCCAAGATTATCAGATGGCGTTCGAAAAATTAGCTGTGCGTGTGCAAGGCTGGCCAGAAAGTGCGCTTGTCGGTAGTTTTGTTGGTGGACTCAGAGAAGAATTCCGGCTAGAGATAAAAGCCATGTAGCCCACCACCGTTCTTGAAGCAGCAGCATTAGCTCGACTACATGAAGACAAACTGAACCGGGCAAGAAGGATTAATCGACCTCTGGGAGCTGCGATCAGACCAGGTATACCAAACCCAGAACCAGGTATCTTGGGTAAACCGGAGCCCAGATCNGGGCAAGAAGGATTAATCGACCTCTGGGAGCTGCGATCAGACCAGGTATACCAAACCCAGAACCAGGTATCTTGGGTAAACCGGAGCCCAGATCAAGAGTAGGAATCACAAGCAAGGACGCCAACTTTGGTTCAGGCCCCGGCTCAGCCAAGAGGTTAACCTGGGTTGAGATGCAAACCCGACGAGAAAAGGGCCTTTGTTATGCATGTGGAGACAAATTCGGGCCAGGCCATCGCTGCAAGATCCTCAAGTTTTCTTCCTTCAACTTGAAACCGAATATGTCGAGCAATCAACAAACATGGAAGAGCCAATGGACAACCAAGAATGGGGGCAATGGACAAAGGAATACCCAGAAATATCCCTGCAAGCCTTGACCGGTCTTGCTTCTTCTCAAACTATGAGAGTAACCGGACTGGTACAAGGGCGCCGTGTGTCGGTTCTAATAAACAGTGGCAACACCCTCAATTTCATTACCAAAACATTGGTCAGACAACTAGGGATTCCGGTCCAACCATGTACAGCCTTTCAGGTGCACGTAGCTAATGGGAGCAACCTGGTGTGCAACAGTACGTGCACAGAATTAAAGATGAAGATACAAGGACATGAGTTCGAGGTAGATCTGCACCCCCTGGAAATCAGTGGAGCAGATGTAGTTCTCGAAGTCCAATGGTTAAGGCAACTAGGGCTGGTGATACGTGATTGGGCCCGTCTCACCATGGATTTTCAAGTGGGCAGCTCACAGGTGCATATTCAAGGGCAGCTGTCCAAGGGTCCAGGACCTATTAGTCTTGCGTCCCTAAGGGAACAGGCAGCAGACCCAGCCCACATCGTTTTAATGTAGATAGACTCCCACGGGAACGGCCCCATTCTAGCCCAAGGAAGCAGATCCGAAGAAGGCCGCACACAACTATAGCAACTACTTCAGAAGTTCTCAGTGATCTTCCAAGAACCTAAGGAACTACCATCGAAACGTGCCAATGATCATTGCATTCCATTGCTGCCCGGAACTGCACCCACAAATGTAAGGCCCTATCATTACCCCTATTTTCAGAAACTAGAGATTGAGAGGCAAGTGCAAGATATGCTTGACAAAAAAATTTATACAACCGAGACAAAGCCCATTCTCCTCGCCAATATTACTTGTGAAAAAGAAGGATGGGACATGGCGGTTTTGTATAGACTATAGAGCTCTGAACAACATTACTGTGAAGGATCGATTTCCCATACCGGTAATCGATGAACTACTAGATGAACTCGGTAGGGCCACCATATTCTCTAAACTAGACCTGAGATCGGGATATCATCAAATTCGGGTCCATGAGGGAGACCTCCACAAGACTGCCTTTCGTACACACGAAGGGCATTATGAATTTYYGRTTATGCCGTTTGGGTTGACCAATGTGCCAGCTACGTTCCAAGCCCTTATGAATGACATATTTCGACCCCATTTGCGCAAATTTATACTCGTTTCTTTTGATGATATACTTGTATATAGCGCTACATGGGACGAACACCTAGTACATCTACAAATCACCTTGGAATTGCTAAGGACTCATAAACTCCTTGCAAAGGAGTCAAAATGCGCATTTGGACAGACACAAGTACACTATTTAGGGCACGTGGTCGAAAACGGCATTGTGCAGCAGACCCGGAAAAGATCTTAAGCATGATAAATTGGCCCCGACCTCAAAATGTTAAGGAGTTATGAGGCTTCTTGGATTTAACAGGGTACTACCGGTGATTCATTAGAGGGTATGGACTGATTGCTGCCCCCTTGACAAGTCTACTTAAGAAGAATGGGTTCTGCTGGACTAGGGAGGCCCAATAGGCCTTCGAGACACTCAAAACAACTGTCTCATCCCCACCGCCGCTCGCACTTCCAAACTTCTCAAAGGACTTCATCATTGAATGCGATGCGTCAAGCCAAGGAGTTGGTGCAGTCCTCATGCAAGAAGAAAGGCCACTAGCGTTTTTCAGCAAAGCAATGACAGCACAGAAATGGGCCAAATCAATATACGAACGTGAACTGATAGCAATTGTTCTCGCAGTTCAGAAGTGGCGGCCCTACCTTCTAGGAAGGAGGTTCATCATACGAACTGACCACTAGAGCCTGAAATTTCTGTTGGAGCAGTCCGTATTATCCCCGGAACAACAACGATGGATAGCAAAATTACTTGGCTACGATTATGTCATTAAATACAAGGCAGGGCACACTAACAAGGTGGCGGATGCACTGTCACGCCAGCCACAACAACTTCCATTACTTCTCACTGGCCCAACATGTTCCTTCATGGGTCAGCTAAGGGAAGAAGCTGAAAGGCACCCACAACTGAGCAAGYTGCGTTCACAGGTCCAAGAGGACCCTACTAGCCACCCAGGGTACACAGTGGAGAATAACTTGTTGCTGTATAAACGCCGAATGGTGATACCACAGGATTCAGCCCATATTCAACAGCTTTTGGAAGTGTTCCACTCATCCCTAGCAGGAGGACACTCAGGGATCCTGCGCACTTACAAGAGACTAGCCACCTAATTCCACTGGAAAGGCATGCGAAATTTGGTCCAAAAGTTCATAGCCGAATGCGTCATTTACCAGAAAAATAAGGCGGATACCTAGTCTCCAGCAGGGCTGCTACAACCACTCCGAATTCCTACACAAGTGTGGGCAGATATATCCATGGACTTCATAACGGGGCTTCCCCTTTCCTATGGCAAGTCCGTCATTCTCATAGTGGTTGATAGATTCACCAAATACTGCCATTTCTCCCTCTGTCCCACCCCTTTACAGCCTCCATGGTGGTTGAGATTTTTACTAAGGAGGTGGCACGATTGCATGGTACCCCTAACCCTATTGTCTCAGACCGCGACCCTATTTTTATGAGTCGTTTTTGGGCATAACTTTTTTTACTACAGGGAGTGAAACTCTTCAAATCCACCAGCTACCACCCTCAAACAAATGGGCAGACTGAGGTGGTCAACTAGAGTTTGGAAACCTATCTAAGGTGTTATGCAGGGGATAGACCACGTCAGTGGCTCAAGTGGCTTCATTGGGCAGAATGGTGGTACAATACCACATACCGTAGTGCAGCAGGAATAACTCCCTTCTGGGCTCTATATGGACGGGACCCACCTCCCCTACTCCCATATAAGAAAGGGTCTACAGTAGTAGCAGCAGTAGAAGACCAACTCCTCCAGCGAGATAGGGTGTTACAAGATCTCAAATCCCACCTCCATCGAGCCCAACAATGGATGGCAGACTCCTACAACAGAAGGCATAGGC